CGCTGCCTATGACTATTAATCAGTGTTGTAAGAGACGCCCGGTTTTTATCACATACGGCATTGACTGTAGAATCGGGGCGGTGAATTACGTCATGGAAAGTTTGTTAGTGGAGATGAGTCTTGACCCTGGTCTCGAAGGATGAGGTTGACTGAGATTGGCAAACAGAAATCAGAGACACGCTCCAGATAGGGCCCTACGGGGAGGAATCACAGGCTAGCATCCGCTCCTCCAGCAAGGTTTCCTCCTTCGGGGCTGATTTCTGTGGCTCCTAGCCCTTCGTTTCTTGTCATCGTTTAAAAATGATGAACATCAGCTATCGCCATCACAACACAATGCAGTTGTGGAATTCTGGAAGCTCTGCTCTTCATTCAGAAGTGATGTTCTGCCGAGGCCACTTAAGCATAGATTTCTCATTCTACGCCCGATTCTCAATTCATGATGAGGTTGATAAACGATCAGTAATGATTAGACACTAGTGGAATGAATCCCGATAGAATCAGTATAAAGGAGCCTAAAGAATCCGTTGTAATAAATGTCACATGGGTGCTCATTGTTAAAGTGACTCATTGAAATAACTGCTTCCCATTCATTGTCGAATCTGCATAGTGTATTCAGTTAGAGCACAGAGATCTTTAACGGTAGAGGAGAGTAAAAACAGAGCTGTCAAAACTGATTCACCTTTTCCAAACCGGTCAGAGGCAAATCCAAAAAGGTAGGTAAGTTAGCCCTGGACTGTGTCGACCTATTTGCTCATCAGGCAGAGGGACTTGTCAACTCTGAAAACAAAGGATGAGACCCATGAACCGTTCATAGAGATCTTATCCCACACTCCTTGGTGGATATCAAGGCTCTGATGTGCGGGACCCTCAGCCTCTGGCGGAAAGGCTCCCTCCCTAGGGGGTTTCCGTCAGGAGCCGGCCCTAAATTCTCCCAGGTCTTCCAGACTAAGCTGTCCGCTGCTATAAGACCTTTGCCAGCAACTCATTCTTCTTCGGTAATAAGAAGCCCACTGATCTGCCAAGTGGCCCATTGTGTGTTTAGATTCTGACTCACGCTGAGGTGAAGCTGCTCCACAATTTATATTGAAAAGTGAGAATTTAAATACATCCAATTTGAATTTTATTCCAGTTTGGCTGAAATTACTGGTGTGCGTGTGTTTGCTTGTTTTCTAAACTACCCAGAACCTGAGGAAGATCTGGTCAGCAGAAACTGGCCATGTCTGGGTCTACATAGAAGGTACACTTACTAAAGAGATTTATTTCCTCTCTGAATTAGGAGTAAACCAAATCCTATTTTAAATGCCTTCAATAATACATTTTTGTGGGGCCCTCACAATGGATCCCTTTGTGCCACTTTCCCTGGTGGATTTCAGAGCAAGTTGGAAGTGGAGGGATGCCCAGGGTCGTGCTAATATCAGGCCACTGTCCAGGTGATGAGTGGACAGTGGAGCTAGGACCAGAGCGAACACCAGCCCCCGAGACACATTTGGAAGCCAGGCTCTGTTCTTCATGTGGGGTTCATCACCCACGGGCTGTGCACCTGCAGCAGGACACGTCTGCGTCTGGCGAGGTGACCCAATGAGCTGCTGTGTGTATGCGTCAGTTATGCACAACTGACGGTGGCGGAAGCTGAGAGTGAAGGACAGGGAAGCACAAGTCCCTGCGTCCCCTCAGGAACCGGGAGCACTTTGTGACGGCGTGTGCGTGGTATGGGAAGGGGGGGTTCCTTTAGTAACATCTTAATACACAGCAGACCATGCACAGGCAGTTGTTTCCATCATCTGCTCCCTCCCCCCGACCACAGATAACGGCTTCAAGTCTTCCTTGTCTTTTTTTTTTTAAATCATCCTTATTTATTTTTGAGAGAGAGAGAGAGAGAGACGGAGTGTGAACGGGGGAGGGGCAAGGAGAGAGGGAGACGCAGAATCTGAAGCAGTCTCCAGGCTCCCAGCCGTCAGCACAGAGCCCGACGCAGGGCTCAAACGAACTCATGAACTGTGAGATCATGACCTGAGCCGAGGTTGGACACCCAACCGACTGAGCCACCCAGGCGCCCCTTCCTTGTCTGCCTTTCTAAGGCAGCGCTCCCTCCTCATTCCACAACCTCAGGGACTTTTTCCTGGTTCCCCACTTTCTAGGTTTTGCGCCAGGTCTCGGTGCCCTCCACCTGCTTCCACCCTCCCTCCCCCCTCCCCACTAATCCCATTTGCTTTGTTGTCTCTCAGGTATAGAATTCAGTGACATTAAGTACGCTCACAATGTGTGCAGCCGTCAGCACCATTTCCAGAATTTTGTCATCACCCCAAACAGAAACTCTGTACCCATTAAGTAAGAACTCCCCATTCCTCCCTTCCCTAACCCCTGGTAACCTTGAATCTACTTTCTCTATGAATTTGGTTATTCCAAGTACCTTATGTAAGTGGAGTCATACAATATTTGTCCTTTTGTATCTGGCTTCTTTCACTTAGCATGTTTCCAGGGGTCATCTATATCGTAGCATGCGTTGGGACTCTGTTGGTCTTTATGGCTAATATTCCACGGTGTGGATGTACCAAATTTTGCTCGTGCATTCATCCGTTAATGGACACCTAGGCTATTTCCACCTTTTGGCTGGTGTGCATAATGCTACTGTGAACACTGGCAAATGAATTTCTGTTCGAGTCCCGGCTTTCGGTTCCTTTGCGTATATAGCCAGGAGTGGAATTGCTGGGTCCTGTGGTAATTCTGTGTTTAGCTTTGTGAGGAGCAAGCATGTGGGTTTTTTGCATTTCAACTGTTATAAGTGGGAAGTGTCGGTCTTTATTAATTAAAATGTATCTTATCAAAGTTAACGTGAAGAGCCGTAAATATATGCAGTCAATTCATTCCTCGCCTCCTTTTGAGTTCTTAACAATTACCATCTGTACGACTCATTTGACAGTTCATCACAGAAGGCTTTGTGACATCCATTATTCTCTTTAACCGATTATTTTAAAGCTTTTACTGTTTAACTTGTCATGTTTTTACACAGTCCCCCACTGAAATTGTAATCACCTCCAGGGCAGAGGCATGTATTATATTTCTTTGTACAGGAATTCCCCATGGCACCTACCCCAGATCTCCAAGATCTCTGACTAATGAGTTTTAATTTCTTTCATATCAATCTTCTGATTTATTCACAGACTAGAAACTTCTCCGTTGAGTCCATACTTTGATAGAAATCACTTTGCCTAGATCTGTTCTTGCAAACCTGTTTTCACATGTTAAATGAGGCAGCACAACAATAACGATCCTGATGGCTAACCTCTGCTTACTATGTGTCGTAAGCCATTCACAGCACATCCTGTGGGTTTTCTCACTTCTCAACATAAGCCTGTATGCGTAAGTGCTGCTGTTATCCACGTTTGACTGATGATGAGACAGTCACTCAGAGGCTGAGCAGCTAGCTGCCCACAGCCACATGCCCGGCACACGCCGAAGGTAGGCCCCTGGCCGCAGGGCCTGTGTTCTTACCCACAGACACTGTTAGGAAGGGACATTTCTACCCTGAACCAAGAAGGACACAACGTGCAGCCACTAGAAGAATTATTCAGCCCAGATGTCAGTAGCGTCAGGCCTTGGGGCGCAGGGGCTCAGACCTTCCGTGGGCTCACCTCTCAGCCCTCCAGCCTTTTGTAGGCTACCTGCCTCGTGTCCTTCCACTTAGCTTCTTTCTGCCCGGCTGCCCGGGGTGCTTGAGCTCGTCCACTTCTCTGCTGCCCTTAGGGTGGCAGAGATCTATCTTGGAAAGAGTCTGGCCCGTGACTGACCGTGTGACCTTGGGCTGAGACACCTCAGGGGGTTGTGGTTCCATTAGGCACTCCATAAATAGCAGCTTCTTCTCTTAGCAAATCAGTTGGAAACTGACCGTCTTACTTGGGGTGATCGATATTTCTTAAAAATAGATGATCAGTATATAAAAATAGATGGAATCCATTTTTACAACCTTCACAATAAGCAACAAATTCCACATCCATCATCCCACCAGCCCATCCTGGAGGCAGACGGAATTGGTTCCCCTAGTAGCCGTGTGTGCATAAATATCTCAGGACAGAAAATGTGTGCTGGCCAAGAGCCCTCCAAGGCTGGTTCCTCCCCGTCAGCAAAGAATGAAGTTTCAGATACAGGAGAGTCCAGGCAACTCTTTTGTAGGCATCATCCCCACGGGAGCCCTTCTGACCTCACTAGGCACAGTGTCGTCCCCTCCCTTGTCCTGGGCCCTGGCGGGAGGGAAGCTACAGGAGGGCCGGCCCTCCCCTGAGAAGGGGACTCTCAGATGTCCTGGTGGCCTTTGCCACAGAGTCATCCCACATAATACCGCACAGCAAAGAGGTGGCTGAGAGTGTCACGGCCAGCTCCCGACTTTGTCTCTCAGCATGTCAGAGCTGCGTTGTGCGGTCAACCTCCTCAGACCCTCCCTCTTTATCCGCCCCTCTGTCTGCATCCCGCTCCCTCCTGAACACCTTGCTCCCTGCCTCAGATTGCGGGGTGTCCCAGGCCCCGAGCCTAAGCTGATGGTGCTCCGCTCCCAGCGATGTCCTCCCAAACCGGGGCCTCGGGGTGCCAGGGTCTTGCTGGGCTCTCTCTACTTGCTGAGATGTGCCCTTCTGGTGGCTCAGGGGGTGTTTCCACACAGCTCTGGGCTACAGGCAATTCCCCTGCAGTTCTGCTTAGCTCTGCTGTGGGAAGGGCGTTGGGGGGGAAGCCCAGGCCCACCTGGAAGCTTCTCTCCAGATGCCAGAAGTGCCTGTGGGCCCAGCTCCAGCCCCTTTCTCATGTCTTCACATGTCTGCTTGCTGCCGGTTGCACAGGTGACACTTGTGTGCCCACCCTCCCCGTTCCTACCCCCTCTCCTGCCCCGCTCCCCAGCCCTGTCCCGGAGCACAGAGAGGGGCTTGTCCCACAGGCCAGTTCTGGAACGCCGGCTGGTGTCTCACTTCACAGCTTTCTCGTGGTTCTGATTTCTCCCTTTCCATTTTCAGCACTGTCTCCAAGCAGAGAAAAAACGTCATCAGTTGCGTCACGGTCCACGACTCTCCCTACTCTGACTCCTCCAGCAACACCAGCCCCTACTCCGTGCAGCACCGCACTGGGCACCACGCCAACACCTTTGACACCAAGGGGAGCCTGGAGAATCACTGCACTGGGAACCCCCGGACTATCATCGTGCCACCCCTAAAAACCCAGGCCAGCGAAGTGTTGGTGGAATGTGATAGCCTGGGGCCAGGTAACTTGGGGCCAGGGCAGGCCGGGAACCTCTCTCTGCACACTGCTTTGCCTGTTTTCCTGCTATTGGCAGTCGTGTTGTGTGAGGCTGATAAGCACCGGGTTATGGTCGATCCTCCCCCCGAGGGTCTCGCTCAGGCAGCCAGGGTAGGATTCTGCTCACCATCACTTTGCATAAGCAGCGTTTTCAGTTTTCAGTTCTATAATTAATACCTTGCCACCTTTACGGTGGCTCTCCCTTTGACTAGGTTGATAAGGACGAAACAAAAGCCACCCGGTTCCTTATCCACGGGTCGGCGATGACCCCTGTTTTAGGGAGTTCCTGACTGACTTTTAGCAGGAAGAAGCCCTAGTGGTAGAGCAGCTTCCTGGGTGGAAAGAACTTTCTCTGAGTCTTGGCAGGTGAGGATGACAGAGGTTCAGCTCGGCATCGCCTCGGGGCTCACTGTTGGGAGGAGAGGTCATGGAGGGTGTGTTTGTTTGCTCACACTGTGGCTTGAGAAAAAGGAGTCCTTCCATCCCCTGGAGGCTCGCCCTGACAAGTGCGCTCTAGAATAAAGACCGAGAACGTAACCTTCCGAGGAAACTTAGTGGCTCTGCCCACGTTTGGTGGCATCTCTTCAGTGACTCCCTTGTTCACGCTCACCAGTGGCAGAATTCGGGGAACAAACCAAAAGCCATCCGCTTCCCCGCCACAGACCGTCACCAGCCCATCCAAGGCAGCACCTTCACAAAAGCACTGTTTAGAAGGAAAGAGGAACAAACTGCCAAAAAAAAGACCTTGCTTAGATTCAGGGAGCTGTTGGGGCCCCTGGCTGGCCCAGTCAGTTAAGCGTCCAACTTTGGCTCGGGTCGCTGTCTTGTGGTTTGTGAGTTTGAGCCTCTGTCCCCCTCTCTCTGCCCCTCCTCCCCCCATTCCTTTTCTTGTTCTCTCTCTCTCTCTCACACACACACACACACACACACAAAATAGACATTTTCTTTAAAAAAAAAAAAGATTCAGGGAGCTATTCACCAAGAAGGACACCCATCTGTGTCACCTGCTGCAGGAGACCTTGGAACCTTTTTGGGGCGGTCACCATGTGTGAGGCCCACTAGTCATGGGCCAGTCTGGTTCTGCCCCTGAGAGGGAAGAGCAGAATTGAGGATGGGGTCCTTAGGAACTTTCCCAGCCCAGCACCATAGGCCGGCCTGCATAGTGTGGGACACAGGATATCTCTCTTCCAGAACCCTCTTTCTCTCCCAGGCAAGGGTTTTAGTAGTAACCTTGGCAGAAAGCAACACTCTCTAGGACCAAAGGAACCCGTAAGACAGTCAAAGTGGTTTGCCCAGGAGAGAGGACTCCTCAGAGCAGCGGCCCTCATACTGTGCTGCTCATATAACCCTTCAATGTTTAAAACGATATCCATCGCATGTTTTTAAGTTCACATCCTGGCAAAGATATCACTTCCGTCACGTTGTGTATGTCGTGCCATTACTGAAGTACTTTAAATGTTTGTTAAGACCTTGGAGCTGCACAGTCAACTCCCCCGGTCCCGGCACCCCGCCTTACCCCCTAGTGAGCAACTACTCCTCGGCCAGGCAGCCAAAGCCCATCTCACCTCTGTCACACCTTCCCCGTGACCACCGCCTCACTTCCGAATTTTATTTCGTGAATGGATGGATAGGGTGGGGAGTTTACAAAAGCGTCTGCAGCCTGAATAAGGTAAGGCTGGACAGCCTTCCGTGTTTCTTACTGCACAAGGCTTGGCTTTGATATCAGGGGACTATCTGCCCCTCAGGAGCTGGTCAGGCTTTGCATGCCTGGAGGCAACACACCATATTAACTTTCCAGAAGGAATAGGAGACTGTGGATGTGAGAGAGAAGGTGGGAAAGGAAAACCAGTAGATGTTAGTGCTGGTAAATCCGTTCAGGAAAAGATACATTTGCAAATTGGGAATCTGGAAATTGACCCCTTAAGTCTTTATCGCCATGGACCCTCAAGCCCTCAGGTAGCCCTACACACACCCGCTTAAGACTGCAGCTTTTGAGAGGCCACCTGGCTGGCTCAGTCAGTAGAGCATGCGACTCTGGATCTCAGGGTTGGGAGTTCAAGCCCCATGTTGGGATTACTTAAAAAAACCCAAAATCTGAAAAACAAAACAAAAAAAGATGCAGCCTGTGGCGCACACGGTTTAGTGGGAAGGGCTTTCCTGCTTAATCAGCAGGTCTCAAGACTGTTGTTGAAACCCTTAAGGAAGCCCGGCCCTTTTATAGAACAGGAAGAGGAGATAGTCCTTCCTCATCTGCAATCCAAAAAACTCTGAACACCAAATTTTAACTTTATAGCAAACTCATTGGTGGTGAAACCTGGCCTGAGTCAACGAGGGGCCGTGCACAGTCTCTTTGTCGTAGTCATTTGTGCCCCTTAGTGAAATATCCCTGTGTTTTGGAGCGAGAATCTTCACGTCTTTGATTACAAAGTGGTGCCCAAGGCTCTGCTGGGGGTAACCTAAGGCATTGAACCTTTCTAAAACCTAAACTTCTGCATTTCAAAAATGAATGTGTGGCCCCAGGGATTTCAGATCAGGGATTGAGACCTGCAACCATGAGACGGTGATTTTTGTTACTCTGTTATGTCGGGAATACCCCTGTTCTGAGACACCCCAGGGGGACTCTGTCACAGTAATGATCCCTTTAAAAGATGGATAATGGCTCAAGACGGATCTTCTTGAGGTCATCTACGAATTCATTTGTTTTTAAAGGTGGCTGGTGCTAAATGTGTCTTGGCCTTTTAAAACGAGATGAGGGATGCATGAGAGAGCGGCCAGATTTCCGCAGGTTGGAAATCTTCCAGCGTGGGGGCACCTGGGTGGCTCAGTCAGTTAAGCGTCTGACTTCAGCTCAGGTCATGATCTTGCAGTTCGTGAGTTCAAGCCCTGCATCAGGCCCTCTGCTGGCAGTGCTGAGCCTGTTTCAAATCCTCTGTGCCCCCTCTCTCTGCCCCTCCCCTACCCTCACGCGTGCACGCACGTGTGCACACACATACACTCTCTCTCTCTCAAAAATAAACATAAGGAAAGAAAGAAAGATGTTTAAAAAAAAAAAAGAAAGAAATCTTCCAGCTTGGAGCTTTGTCAGGCTTTGATGCTGGTGCCATTCCATGGGAGGTGACAAATTTTGAGGAGAGTTACTGAAACTTTAAGACCACCTGGTCCAACCCCTGGTGGAGACGAGTGAAGAGGCTGAGGGCCAGCTTTGCCAGTGTAACAGCAGTTGTGTGTCTTGAGAAGCCACCAAGGCAAGAGAGGACAGCTCTGTGGAGCCGCATTTCACGCCTTTCAGGTTACATTAACCGGTTCCATCCTCGGCCCATCGCGCTCTGTGCCTGCGGGCGGCGGGGCAGCTCAGAGGTCTTACCCCACTGTCTTTCCACAAGGACTGCGTGCTGTCTGAACGGCTGAGAGTCTCTGAGGGATATTTCCAACCAAAAAAAAAAAAAAAAAAAAAAAAAAAAGGTTGGAGCGGGGGAGGTCATTCCCCGCGGTAACACTACTGGTTCTAAAGCAACCAGTGCTGCTGTCTCCGGGGATCCCCATGGTCTAACTTTCCACTGTGAAGAGAGATTTATTTTCCCCTGTGGGACATGCTGCAGAGTCTTTCTAGTGACAGGTAAGAGGCAGGAAGGAACTTCATTCCGGTGCCTGCTTGTCCCCAGCCTGTGGTGGTGAGAAACACCCAGGCTCAGAAAAATCCGAACGGCAGCCTTCTTCAGCTTCCTGGTGCCCAGGTGGCCCACAGAGGCCGAGGTGTGAACAGGTTGTAGCCAGCCAGGTGTTCCCTGGGCTCAAGTCACAACAAATGCTGTGCAGACCGCAGTCCGTCTTCTCACAGAACTTACCCCTCCTGTGGTTCTGAGCTCAGGAAGGAGCCCTGGGGATTTCTCACATAACCTTCCCAGGTCTCTTGGGTTAGTTAAGGCTCCTTTGGAAGGCAGCTGAGTGAACTCTACACTTATGCCATCAGACCCATAATGTATTGGAAGGAATTAAGAGAGCTGAGGGAAAGTTCAACAACTACATCCCAGGCTGGGCAGGAGCCAGAACTCCTAAGACCTGGGCCGTTGGGGGCCCAACGCCTGCTTTCTGGAGCACTGCCTCACCCTGACCCGGTGACTCCCAGGCTTCCAGCTTCCCATTTCCAGGAGACAGGATTTGGTTGTCCCGGCTTGGAGGAGACACCTGTTCCTTGAGCGTCAGCTTTAGCCAGGAGACAAGGTTCAATAAGAAAGATATTAACAATAGCTAATGCATTTAAGAGCTTAACACATGACAGACAGTAAGCGTTCTATGTACATTAACTCATATGAACCTCATGACCACCCTATAGAGTTACCATTATTCTCCCAGTTTTCCGGATGCGAAAATGGAAGCACCAAGAGATTAATTAAGTCGACCAAGGCCATGCGGCTGGACCTCGCAGGAGTCTGGCTCCCCATCTTAATGTCTTGGTCCCTCACAAGACCCCACCCCTTATCTGGAGGTCCCCTTCTCTGACCCAGCCCCCCGTTCCCTGTCCCCGCAGTGCTGGTAAGAGGTGCATGCTGGGCTCTGTCACACCATTTCATCTACAACTTCTAACCTCTTCACTGTAGACTCAAGCTACGGATAACTCAAGCTCAGGGTTTTCCTTCAAATATAATCGCCACGCAGTGCCCTGAAAGTTGGAAGTAGGGAGAGAGACAGCCTCCACCGCTGGGGCCCACACAGCAAGCACAGTTGTGGCCTGCTACTGACCAGCAAGGACTCTGGCCCCACCACAGTAGCACTGCGGCTGAGCAAAGGGGAGAAACCAGGCCCTGCCAATGGCCGACATTTGCGGCTGTCCTTCTCTTACCCTGCAGTGGGTCCCCCAAACCCCTCACCCCCCCAGGTTTCGGAAGGCCTTTGAGAGTCTGAATGGGTTTGGCTTTAGCATAGCTCCGTACGCCAGGGCCTGGCTGCCTCCTCTCCTGGGGTGCTTATTACTAATACAGATTCCCAGGCACCTCCCCATGGGGTTCTGATTCAGTGGGTAGGAGGAAAAGACCCACAGGTACCAATGCACAGATCTGGGGTCCCTGGTAGGACCCCCCACCTCCCTCCCCAGTGAGGCAGCCCTCGCTCTCCGGGGTGGGGGTGGGGGGAGGGCGTTCTGCTGCCTGTGGGGCAGGGAGGCTCCTCGTGGACTTCAGTGCGCACCCCCGTCTCCCATCCCCAAGTTGCCGGTGTCCCAAACCTTCACTCTTCATGTTTCTCTCCTTCAGCAGTTACTCAGTGTTCCCTCTTGCTGGCCCTAGCCATCTCCTCCTTGACTTTGGTTTCACCACCCTGAGATTTGTAATGGAATTGATCCAACCCAGTTACGGCAAGGGCCTGCCTGCTCCCTGGTGGAGGCTTCATTCATACTTAGCATCTTCATTCATACCCGCCTAGTTCACACTAGCAACCATGAGTTGTTTTTCCCTCAGGACGTGTGTGGTCCTCTTTCTGAGGCTTGTTTATCTGTGCCCTGCTTATCTGTCACTGTGTCTCTGGATCTCAGCAGACAAGCCCCATGGGGCACGAAGAGCTACAGAGACCTCTCCTCCTTTCCTGCGTTACACTCTTCTTGTGCTTTTCCATGTCACCAGATGAGAATCCTAAAGTCCAGCAAGCTGGGATGGGCTCCTAACCCCTGGGGCGAGCCAAAGCCCAGCGGCCCGTCCAGACTCTGGGCAGACTCTTAACTGGGTCCAGGGGAGACGAGGCTGACTTTGATGGGCCAGTCTTGGGAACCCATTCCTTCCCGGAAGACCACCGTTGTTTCCTGGAGGGGCAGGGTCTTCTGGGCAGCGGAGGACGTGTGATCCCTCTGTGACCTGTCGCTCCTCCTCACACAGTCAACACTGGCCAGCACTCGTCCTACAAGTCCAAGTCCTCCAGCAACGTGACCTCCACCAGCGGTCACTCTTCAGGGAGCTCGTCCGGAGCCATCGCCTACCGGCAACAGCGGCCGGGACCGCATTTCCAGCAGCAGCAGCCTCTCAATCTCAGCCAGGTGAGTGCCTCCTGATCCTGTCCCAGCAGCCAGCACGTCGGTGCCATCCCCTCCGTTCCCCAGCCCGGTAGCAGGTCACCTCTGGGGCCCCTCACCCCGCCCACAGAGCCCCAGCCCCCTCGCGGCAGGACGCATCCTGAGCGACCTCTGACTTCTTCCCTCCATGGGTTACCATTGGGGGAGCTGGTATGACTGGGTCACACAGAGCCAGCCCAAAGTAAAATGAGTTGTCCGATGTCACAAAGCACTTAGTGACGTGGTGCCAAAGCTTAACAACAGGATGGCCCACGTCTTGCCAGTTCAGCCTAGCGAAGGGTAAGCCACGGTGTCCTGGCCCAGTCAGACCAGGATTCCAGGGAGATAGTCTGACGGAGTTGGGCTTGCTGTTCATTGCAGTGAGGGAGGCCAGACCACACCCAGAAAACCCCAAACCGAGGGCAAGAGAGGATTTGGAGAGGGTGGGTGGCCTTTAGGTGGAATTATAAATGAAGCAGGGTCTCCATGGACGGAGCCAGCCTGGGTGCAGAGGGTCTAGGTCAGGTCTGAATTGCAAAGCGGACCCAGGGGCCTGTTTCCTCAGACACCATGGAGGTGCAGTGAAGGGGGAGTTTGTGTTCAGAAACCCCTCATCCGAGGCGGTGCACTTGATAACCTGAGGCTGCGTCCCTGTGTCATCATGACTCAGGCTCTCTGGAAGAGATTTATACCAACATAACTTCAAACAACAGAGTTTCCAAGAGCCTAGGATTTTAGAGAACAGGATTTCACAGTGAGGGAGGAAGCACTTGTCACTCAAAGAGGGGCTCCTTTGACACTTCCTGGACCCATGTGCTCTGAGGAGACACAGTCTCCTGTTACCTTTTCAGCTGGCTTGATCTTACGGCCATTCTGGCCCCTTCTCAGTCCAGGCTAACGTGGCAAGGGGGACGCCTGCTGTCACTCCAATGGCTCTGGCCTCCTCCCCTCTCCCTCCTCC